TCAAAAAACACCGTAACAATTTCTGTGCGCGCTGCCAAACCGCACTTTGATGTAAGAGGAAATAAATATTAATAGGACGATTACACGAATGAATGACAAGATTAGTGAAAAATCACATAGTGGTGGCTTCTTTAAGCTGCCGTGTTCGGAATAAACTACTAGCATGTGTTACCGGGGTGTTTTTGTTATGCAGTCTGACCAACTTGACCTCAGCAAAGGTCAGACGTCGCTTCGCTCCGCAGCCAGTCGGGGAGTGCTGACGGAATTCCCCTGCCACGCGCCGTGGTCGTGGTCCCAGACTCCACCATCTTTTACAGGCCGGCATCCATTGGTCAGGTGTGAAGTTATTGTTTGTGGCGCTCTCCTGCCGCAAGAATGAGTCGCTGACCCTCCACCTCAACGCGCGTGGCAAACGTAACAAAAGCAATGCTCCATCCAAGTTTGATCCATACCGGCGGCTGTCACTGAAGGATACGTTGTATGCCATGTACGTGGTAGCTCTGTTTAAAATCTTTAGGACTGCTGAGCAGTAATTTAGCCTAGACAACAAATGAAAACTTATTTTCTCATCTTTTATTTTCTTTTCAGTTCGTGGTGGGTTAACGAATGATTTCTGAAGATATTATGTCCATCTATCCAATATCGATAATTACCCTTAAAAATAACAGTGAAGCCCATCACCATTTTAAAAACTGATGCCTGCACTCCATTGCAAAATAGGATCATTAAGGGCTCCGATTCGTCCAGACATCTCAGAATTACTTACTGGCAGCTTACAAGGGCTTCTAACCTTTTTTACAAACTCTCCAGTCTACGGGCTATAAATCCTCTGAATAGCGTAGACTTTTGACCAGTGGCGTTACCAGGCTCTTCTCACAGCCTCGGGGAAAGACGAGGGGCACAGGAAGGGCAGTTCCCTCTCCAGGATACGCCATTGAATCCGACAACAGGGCAACCCTACGTGGGGGATCAAGGGCACGATATGTTTGGTCGGCATAAGTTTTTTTTCACTTTGACAAAAACCCAGCGGTGATGGATCTTTTGTCCCTAAAAGTGGGGATGGAGCATTTTGTTTTTCTCTGTTGTGGGGGATATGGGGATCCAAAAGTGTGAGGGGGCGGTTTAAAATGTGCGCTTTTAACGAACGAAGGTATAGCACCACCTCTTTCTTCGCCTCCACGAAGAGACGAACGTTTCGAAGGAGCTTCGACATTTGAAATTGGTCTCTTCTTAAAACGCCCACTTTCCTAGTATTTAGCACTCCTGTGACTTAACCAATTCTAATTCATGAAAAGGGGATCTTAAATGGCACAAAACTACAAAATGGTATTTATAGAAGTCAATGAAAATAATTTTTTATTTACTTTGTCTGTTTGTGAAAAAGCTAAAAGCTCGTGATTTTGCCAAATACACATTTGAAAATATCATGATTTTGGGCCAATTAGTCTTTTCGTGAAACGGTGACAAAACATTACCTACAAGCAAATACATGTATGTCTGGAATTTTGACTCCCCTCCCCCACTGCATGCCACACGCAAGCCCTAGACCCGCCTCCACCTGTAGGCATTATTAACGATGTAATACGCCTTCGTGTCGTCTCATCACTGAGAACGTCTCCGAGTTTATGAGCCTCAGTCGGAGGTCGCGTCAGAAAATTTTAATCAAAGGCTTTGCAGACAGCCTCAAGTATTTCCCTTATTAATCACTCTTTTACAGTAGCTATGTACTACCTTCCCTCAGTCCTCCCCTCTTCACACTACGCACTCTTAACGACATGCAATCCATTGCAAGTTTGAATGGAAGCATTTCAAATGCTTCGTGCTTGATCTTTGGAGAAAAAGAGAGCAGAAGGCTGCAAAACATGGAAAAGCGATTTTCGTTCCTTTCATTTCGCAATCTCCGAGAAGTCGGTCGGTTGTGATCGCAAATCAACCCCTGGATATGCAACCGGATCGCTCAGAGCAGTTGCTCCCGGTAAATCGCCGGGAAACTGAATATTATGATAGATGTATTGCGATAGCCCTGTGACTTATGGCATGGCAAATTAGTCAAAGCCACCTTGAACAGCTTTAGGCGCCTTGGGTCAGAAGAAAATGTTTTTTTTTTCAGACACCCAAGGTCAAGAATGGTATAGGGTGTAACAAAGAAGTTATTTATTTAATACACAAATGGTCAAATAAAATTTTGAACAGGGAAACACAAATTCAAACATGAAATTTTCGTTCTTTTAAATTGTTAATTCCTGAAACCGCTTGCATATAATATTAGTTAAATATATAATAATTTATCTTAATTTTTTAGTCTCTTTTGTATGATGTTAATTTGATGTGTGTGGTACTTTTTTGACAACGCTTCGCGATAGGTTCCCGTCTTCGATAATTGAGCTCGCACTTGATCTGTCATGATCCTCAAGTAAACAAATCATACATGATACAGTGGCGAGAGAGAAAACAGTTCCTCGACTCCTCTCCAAGAGGGGGGTAGACAGAGCTACCTACAGGGTACCGAATGTGACGGCTATCAAAACCAGAAAGCATTGTTCAAGGCGGTCCCAGCGCTTTTTTCTTGAGGGGAGATTATCGGGGCTCACGCATGGGACCCACGGCAAACGAGCCACCGTGTACTATCACGGCCCACCACCCCCGTACTATGTACAAGCACCACGGCTAACCAACAGATCACGCTATGCGGACGCCGGACAGACAAACAGTGTACAAATGTACATTTACGTAGCGCACTGCATTTTACGTATGCGTGTGCGCGTACGTGTCATGCAAACCTGTCGAGTGTCTCAGGGCATGTAAACGTGAGTACGTATGCGTAGTGAATATTGGCGTGCATGCACATAACATACCAGCTCGCAGGCTGGACCTTCGTGAACGGGTGCAACCACCATCACGTACGCAGTACATGTAGGCTAGATTCGCCCTACGCCGGGTCAAAGCTAGACCTGTGACCGCGAGGTTACCACTTCCTGTTAGCAAGGCGTTATTTAATTTTTTGGGGGGTTCGCAAATGGTAATGCTTTGACACGGGCAAAGTGTCAGCTATATGATAAAAGCATGGCTTTGGTACAGTCACAGTGTGGTAATTCATCTTCTCACTAAGCGTCACTGATCACGGAAGTTGGTGATATATTTCAAATCAAATCAGTTATCTTGATCAATTTTGGATGAACGAATAAAGTGTATGTAGTGAGAATATTTTCAGCAATGAGGAAGAAAAAGAAAAAATATCGAATTGTTATAAACCGCCGCTTTAGTAACGCATTGAGCGAGCTCCCGCGTCTTGCTGAAATTCACCCACAATGCTCTGCGCGTTTTTAGGTGTGACCCCGTGTAACGTATTTCCTTCACTATAATCTGTGCAAGGCTACCAACCCTTCCCAGCGCACTGTTCGGGCGCTGGGCGATGAGCAAAGTAGCTGGCTTGCTTCCGGGATCCGTGGTTAGTTTTTATATGCACATGCGCTTTTTCGTTTTCTGTTTATAGATGTGATGTTTACATTCATCCTTACGTTCGTTAGACAGCAGAACACATGGCTCTCGGGAAAACTTCGGAAAAGTTTTCCCCTGTAACTATGGAAGCGGTTATCCCTGAAAAGCAGGTAAAAACGTCTGAAAGTGTTGTTGCGGCAAGGACTCAGAAGAGAGAGTGCTAATCCAATCTTGAAAGTCTTCAATGTTTTTCACAGGAAAGTGTTGCATAACTTGCAGTGTGGGATTGATATATGCTAATTTCCTCATTAACATAAACCTGACAAGATTCCTCCGGGAATCAATACCCACTACCCGGTTCCTACGTTCGTAGGACGTCTGTAAGAAATATGTACACTGCGTGCGGGACGAGAACCAGTCCACTTCAGATTTTGGAAACAAATAGGATGTTTATTTGAGCCAGCAGCTATTGTATAACAACTGTCCGTATGCACTGATGCATACAACTGTCATTTTGTTTCGAACGTTGGTGAAACTCATGTCGCAACTCGCTCAATTCGACAACCAGAATTATGAAGCCATTACTAGGGTGGTGCAACGATCGTGGACGGGTGGTACGCGCGCGTTACATGCTTCTTCCACCAATAGGGTGTCGTGATTTGCTGAATGAATGCGCACTTCAAGCCGAAAAATGTGCATGTGGGTTTAGTGCCATAGCAGTTAAGGCGTCTAATTGGATTAATCTATCATGGCCCTGCAGAGTGGTGGCATGATGTTCGCCTTAACTCTCCACATCTGTCAAAAGAGCGTGCATTTGAAGTCATACATCATGGTGCCTTACATAAGTACACATAATCATTCATGTAATCAAGGGTTAGTGTAGGTCCCATGATGTAATGGTTATTTCATCGCACACTTCGGGAAGCCTGGCAATTCGAGTGTGAGCTTTGCTGTTTTCTGGGTGTATTTGTGTCACATGGTTTTTTATAAATTTGCCCACCTAACCCACGTAAAAAGAAAAATGTAGTTCTTAATACATTCGTCTTGATTTACATTTAAAAGCGCAGTTCTTTCAATTAATTCGATAGACCCATCATTTGGTAGGTCTCACGCTTGAATCATTGACGTAAACCAAGGTCCAACTTACAAGGGACGCCGGGGGGACCTTTTGTTTTCTGATGGGATTTTAATTGGTTTGGTCAGGTTTCAAACAAACAAAGCAGTCTCTAGGCCTTCTCCAAATGGTGGGACGTAAAACTCTCAAAAGGGTCCCCAGGCCTCGTTCGGTGCACGGGGTGGGGGTGGGCGTATTTATGCCCCTAATTATACTGCAGCTGCATTTGTATGTGGAGACTATGAATTTTGCTATTCAGCATAATTTGACATTAAGCATTAGTTTTGTAGCAGTCACAGCCATTTTTCTTGTGTACTCACAATTATGCTTTGTCTGCACCCTAGGTACATGTATAGTGAACATGAGATCCATGGTACTGTTGTACCAGATTTTGATGAATAATCGTTTCAGCAGTTTGATGAATATTCATCTTTTGTTTACATCTTAGGTCCAAGGAATGTGCAGATACGAAGTGCCTCCATGACCTCCATCAACCTAAGCTGGGATCCTTTCCTTCCACCCGGCAGTGAGTTGGGACATTACGTGGTGTTCTATACAAGCCAGTATACCGAGACCATATCGGGATGGCCTGGTCTTTTAGAGGTCAGAATGCTTCAGACTATGATGTAATATGATAACTTATTTTTTGAATAGTAGCTTCAATTTGTTTTAATACAAACCGTCGAAAGGCACCTTTGAATCTCAGTTAACGTTATTTTCCTGTTTTGTTTCACTGTTTCAAAGGGTAAAATACTACCCTTTTGGTTTTATGCGAATAAGTATTTTCATATTATTGGGCAAAACTGTGACGTCACCCCAGGAAGAAAGCCTCAATGTTACATTGGTTTGTACACGAAAAAGTCCTGCATTTTTAAAAAGATTTTCGTAGACTAATTTTTCTCTTCTTTGCTGATTCAATGTTGTTTATGTGCATAGCAATAAGCCAGCTCAAACTCTTTCTCAGAAAAGTTTTCAGTAAGTAGATTCTGGGTTCACAAGTTGAGCAGAAAACCTATGCATTGAACGATGTCTTCCCTGGATGACATCACAGCAACAGCGCCCTCAGTCGACCTGGAAAGTATGGATAATTTAAGCATTAAAAATGCATTTATCAATGCATTTAACGTAATATGATTGTAAAAGCGTTTTCATACATTGAAAGAGAGTACAAAGATGGAGAAAAATTTGTGTTCTAGAAAACTTCATTGCAGATCCACTTCGAGGAATATTGTGGGACCTTCATAGGAGATGAAGTTTTTGCTAATGGATAATTCCACAAATGAGGGGTCCATTTTTTTTGTTCGATATTTCCATGTCAAATACCAAAGCTCAGATGTAATAGGGACACAAAAATATCACAGTTTTGCACCCCTAATTTCTGGAATTACCCTGATAACTCCTGTGATCTCTTGACAATACAAGTATCCACCTCTACACGCCAATTAACCGTACCTAATCTTGTCATTCATTCAAACCAGGCTGGCAATAATAGGTGTCGGTCTCCATCTGGATCTTAAACTAAGCATATGTAAAATAGTCTGGCACCCCTTCTGCATGACCACAGTACCTCGTGCATTAACATAAGGACAACATCTTTAAACATCCGAACACTATATGCAAAAAATCGCTTCAGCGTCTAACTTTGAAACAGACTTCAACCGAGGATTTTGTACCAAACAACCTGGGCACATGCACACTGTGGTGAGTCAGGGCCTTCAATAATTTAAAATTTTGGCTGGATTCGGGCTTCACTCATCCGTCATTCACCCATCTGGAATGCTGATTTCCCTCTGCGTTGTACTCCGGAATAATCATACCATCAAAAATATTAAAGCAGGGCATATTGAGTTTCAATCACCGGGGAGACCATTTGTTTTGTTGTCTAATGTTCAAGGATTAATATTTGGCATATTTGAGTGCATGCTTCTCAAGTGATTCCGGGGAGTTGATAAATTGCCTAAGCGATATCACAGATGCACCTGAACAGGTGAAAGACATTCCATATTGTGTGCCGGTGTCTAGTTCTGAAGGATCTTCTCTGCAATTTCTTTTCCCTTAATGTTATATGTGTTTTCGTTGGTTTGCTATTGTTTTCTTTTCTTTGGTTTTGCAGTTTGGTTTTTTGCTTGTTTTTTAATGATTCGTTTACACTTTTAAAACGCTCGCCCATTTGCATCCATGAATGAAACATTTTCACAAGTGCAGTTCCCAAAACATTATGTTTTATCAACTGGTGTACTAAGAATTGCTTGTTTTAAGGATAAAATTCAATAAAGGTCGACATTAGCAGAGTATTATGTTCAATACCAGAACATATCACAATTCTGTGGAAGGATCACGCTAAAACCCTTTCAAAATATTGTTAACCTCATTGGAAAATATCCATCTTCACCACCTGTTCGTGTCTCAATCTTCCAGGTGGGCAATTCTACGTTTGCCTCCATACGTGACCTGCAAAAAGGGGTGGCCTATTACTTCCGGGTCAGCTACAGGCTCCCTAGACGGGGCATATTTATGGAGGGACCTTTGTCGGAAGTAGCATTACACCAGACTGGAAACCCAGGTAGACATACACATTTTATTTCAAACAACCGTCGTGAAAGTTACACATCATTAGAGTTTGAAAAAAGTTTAACGTTATCAGTAAATAAACATTCAAAGATTTGAACTCGGTGCGTCTGTAAGAGGGTTCTCGCAATGTTAGCAATTAATGGCGCATTGGTTTTGAACTGAAATCCAATACACGTACAGGCACACTGTCAGTTTGAATAATAAGGCAAAATGTCCACCACTGAGAAATTCGATCAGACACAGTGGCGTTACTAGGGCTAAATATCCGGCTGTAGCCAGAGTACATCTTTTAAGGGGGCACCACAAGAAAAATAAGCTGCAGCAGCATTTTGAAGGGATTATTCACAGATATCTAATGGGGGGAGGCACGGGGTACGGGCATCCGTGGGGGGGGGTAGTTGTGCCCCCTTAGTTACGCCACTCAGTGGGCGGACCCACAATCAGCTGATGCTTTACTTATGCCAAATGCGTGACTGTAGGTCGCTGTCGAATTTCATTCGGACACGTGTACTATTTGAGGGCTTGTCTAACGAGGGTATCTCTGTATGAAACATTATTTCACGTGTTTGGTTTCTAGCACCAACTGGGGGTTGTGAGCACGAGGCAACACATTATGACGAGGGTCAAACTGTCCAACAAAGCTGTGACACCGTTTGCGACTGCCTGCTGGGCCGTTGGATATGCAGGCCCAGAAGTTGCCCGCCCTCGCCTGACATGGTACTCTACAACCCGGTCAATTGTCGAGAGGTCTCGCACCCCGACGATCCTCACTGTTGTCAGATGATCGAGTGCGACGAGGGACCAACTGAACCCTTAAATCCAGGTACCCTAAGTCCACGAGAGTCATGCATGTTTGCATGCGGGTTATGTTCACTCACAGACTGGTCGTAAATAGAGTCTGTGCACAAACACCACCTGGACTGACGCTCGAACGCCATTGTCCTTGTGTGCATAGCGCCAACGCCAAACTAGTGTTCGGTCCTGTACGAGTGTACGTAAACCAATACGCAGTGCGTGTATACGATATTCGGTCTATGGGTATCATTCACGCATCAAGCTGTGGGTGAAGAGAAGTCCAGCAGCGGTGAATCCGGGTTTGGTTTTTTAAGGGAGGGCATGTTGGATTTTTTTTTTCTAAAAAGAGTGGTAGTGTCGTTTTGAAGTTCTAAACACTTTCAAATTAAATCACCCAGCTGACTGTATTCACGATGAAGAGGTTCATCGCCATGGTGAGACGTATTATTACGGCTGTGAGGAGGTATGTCACTGTGATAACGGAATCGAGTCCTGCGCGCAGCGCTGTCCGGATTCGGGCTCCATGCTGCCCGACAGTTCGTCTTGCCCGCAGCCGCAGCTGAACACCCCACCAGACGGAGAATGTTGCCCCTACTGGACATGTCCCCCACCTCGTGAGTAAACATATCAGTGGAATGGATGGGTTTTGGAGAAAGCTGACTAGTTTGAATTTCGTATCCTTATTCCTCCTATATGGAGGCTAAAAAGTAAAAACGCCCGTGCGGAACGCTTCTGAAACTTCGTCAGGACTATATATTGTCTGTGTAACATACAAGAAGTTCTTGGAAGTTTTGGTTGCTCCACGCAGTATTGATTCGTTAAGATAGAAGACATGCCTAGTTTGTTGTCCAGCACTTCGTTTGAAAAAATTATGGTACAAAAGTAAAATTACTTCAACTGTTGTGTGCTGATTTCGTTTTTTCGTCCTTCCCAGTGTAACACCAAGAAGACGCAAAGTTCAACTTTGTAATACATAATTTTTTGTCCTTTAAAACCCTGAGTCGTCTTTTCTCTTTATATCGTAGCTGGTTCTTGTGAGATGAACGGCAACACGTACGAAGAGGGTGAATATTTCGACATCGGCTGCAGCATGCGTTGCCAGTGTAAGGCCAACTACGTGACCTGTCTGCCAAGATGTCCATACAACTTCCGAGCACCCACGGAAGACTGTCTGGAGCCCAAACGGGTCCAAATACCTGGCGAGTGTTGCATGCAGTGGGAGTGCCCAACCACGTGTGAGTAAAAAAATTAACTTTTCAGGGAATAAAACAAACAAGAGAATAGTGATTAATGTGTATGTAACCTTCGTCAAAGACCATTCAAATAAGTGGTAATGTGGGCCTTTGGGCTAAAAATTGCTTACCTGAAAGCATTCCAAAATTGTGATTGCACTTTTAATAGGAGTCGACGAGCCCTGTCCAGTCGCCCTTTCGTCTGCAATAGAGCCTGAAAGTTGACCCCCTGATGGCGCACTTCCAGAACCCTTGGATAGGAAATATAACGTGCAAAAATGTTAGAATTTGTAATATTTTTTCGTTCAGTTACTTCTTAAAAACTCTACTCATAAAATGGCCTTTTGTAAAATGTTTGCCAGCATATCAATTTATGGAAACTGAAAAATTGCAGTACCTAAGAGAGGAATACCCTGCCAAAAGTTGACTTATCGTTTCTGAAACTCTAAAATGCCTGTAGAGCAGTTGTAATTCGGTGGTCTCGTTGGTAGATGAACGGTTACGGAATTATACTTTATGGTAGTCTTTCGGTAAAAGCAAAAAAAACACATACCAAAATATCTTAAATTGTGCAATTTATAAGAAAATATACTTAAAGCAATAACGTGCTTTTACGAAATATTCTAATGTGTAATCAACCTTTGATGACAAGAACTGCGTCAGGTCAACTCGACTAAATCTAGAGTCCATCAACTGCAGGTAGGTAAAACTTTGCAACGTTGTATAGTCTGTTTTCCACGTAAGCACCGGAAATGAAAACGAACGTGCATAAACAAGGAGACCTAGGAAAGATACTGCCGGAAGTGAGAGGTCGTTAATGATATTAGTTTTTATCCATCTCCAGGTGATTTTCGTAAATATTACTTGAGGAGGGCAAAGGGAAAATTCCAACTTGAGTCTTTCTGGGGGTAGTTTCAGTTAGAAATCATTCTTCCCAAAATTATCCAACTTGATACGAAGTCCCATGTGAAATTCCAGGCAGACCGCGCGATGGTTCCGGAAGCTTGCTGCGCGTGACCTTTTACTTTCGGGGTCTATGAAGACTGTGTGGTCAGGTTGGAATTTCCCCGTCCTTCACCCTAGGTTACGGCGGTTCCAATCCCATTTGGTTCCCGCGAGGGATTGTCACTCCGTCTGGATCGCGTACAGGATTGTGCTTTTTTTGGAGGGGGGGGTTACTGGTCGGTAAATATTTCATTTTTCCTATCCAGAATGTTTTGCATATTCGAATTATCAAATTTCTGTTCTCTTTTTGTAATATTTGTCTTATTTAGATTTTTATGAAGTATTCTTGTATGTCAAATCGAAACAGTTGTGAGGAAAACTTCAGGATGTAACGCCCATGTGTTGTCATCGTGTTTTTATTATTCGACGAAGAAAAAATTATTATAGCTTTCGTCTTTCTTATTCACTGTGGCCCTTAACCGCAGATGCCCAGCTGTAAACTTGAAAGGGCAACTCACCTGTCCCGACTTATTTAGAAAATAATATCAAAGACAGGAAAATACAGAAACCGATTTTGACAGATCGGGAAAACATTCTTGGCGTTGGTCTCCACGGGACATACCGATCTAGCGGTTCAAGGCAGAGCCCACATCCGCCGATTAATCTTGCCATCTCTCCCGGGAACAACCCACGATATTTTATCCGCTCCGTGGTTTCCTTTCTATTCCACGCCCGGGTTTCTTTTGACCAAGTATCGGATGAAAAAACGTACCGGGACGCTGTTTAATGTTGCAAAGCTGGAACAGGAAATTTTAGAGTCCCCTAGGGCTTGCGAATCTGACAAGTGGTCCTTCGTAGTTTATTTATGCAGAATAAAAGGCATTCAAAGGCCCTACGTTGCTTTTTATAAGGATTGGTTGATGTTATGTTGGGTTTCCAACGACTTTTATTCAAGAAATGCGTTGTTTTGATTACCCAAAACAACTTTCAAAATGACATTTGGGCGATGATTGCTTTTCAGTGTTTTATTAGTGAATCAGATGCATAGGTGTAATTTTAATATCTCGAGTTTTACTTTTGGCGTTATGGTTTTTGTCATAAGAGTCGTAAATTTTGTTTTATTTCTGTCGACTTGAACTAACCATTAAAGCACTTTAAAAAAGGATTGATTTTTAATATGACATTATATGATGCTGTTAAAAGAAGTTGATAAATATTGCACCAACAGCCGCAACGACGGACTGTGTGTATTTCGGCTCGCTGGGAAACATCACCATGGCCAATGGCGAGTGGATCGATGAGGGTTGTGACCAGCGGTGTCTTTGCGATCACGGCAGCCTGGTGTGTATGCCCGTCTGTGTCGCACCCTCTCGCCCGTCCCCCACGCTGCTCTGCCCAACGCCGGTCATCACCAAGCTGCGGAGTGAGGACTGCTGCAAGGTGATAGCCTGCCACGACCCCAAGCAGCGTGAGTTGGTCGGATTTATGAGACAAGTCACACCTGAGATGCTGTGAATGATCGAAAAAGTGGGCAAGTTAAAGGCTCTACCTGGAGAGACCTAATCTTGCATGGGGCCCACTTGCGTAATAGACAGAAAAACAACTGAAAAGAATTTTCAGACACATAAAGTATGTCAGCATTGGTGTTTCTAAGCTTACAATCATCTTACTGTTTGATATGTGTATTAAATATAGTGTCTTCCTTGAAGTCAATTTTTGCAAGTCTGCGAACTATTTGCTCCTTACAAATCACTGTCACACCTTAGGCCGTCAACTGAAATCCTAAGAGGGCTAGAAAATGACCTAAATACGTCTTGAAATTGATAGGCAACTTGAAACAGGTGATTGAAGATGATGAGGGCCCTGGATCCAAATATGGACGCCCCCAGGATTTCACGTTTTACTCTGATAAAACTCTGAAAGACACTGCGTCAATTTCTCGACAAGCTTCACACCAATGGCGCAACAGTGCTTGCAGGTGCATGTATATTTATTTATTTCAATGTGGTTGCATTCCAGTCGTATCAAAGCTTCCAGAAAATGAAAGGTGTTTTCCCCATATATCGGGGCACGACGGTCGTGCGCTGTTTCAAACAGAATCTCGAAGCTTATTAATCGAACATCAGTAATACATTTTCGCTGTTGGTGTGCAGATGTTGGGTCCAGAGGGCAATAATGAAATTATTTTCTCTTTTTTTAAACGCGAAAAACCCAATCCTCCCCAGTGCCAGATTAATGCTCCATAGGGCCTACTCTGAACTAGGTATCATCACCAATATCATAGACCTGGTATTAAGGCTGAGGCGTCGCATTTAATTACTTTTTGAAGCTTTCCCCGAAACAAAACTTCAGATATAGACCATGAACATTAAAGAGGTTACTGTTCTTAAGTGGGTATAGTATTTTGAAACCTTTATTTAATATGTATTTTCGTAGCCCCTCTTGGCCTTACTGTGCCTAATGAAAAGTAAAACAAGACCTCTGAGAAGAAAAGGTGTCATTAGTCTTTTAAACAACAATCTTTTAAATGTAGTATTTGCCAAAATTTTTTTTGCTAAGACAAAATTCATTTTAAAAAGTCTCCTCATTTGGAGAAAATTGACATTTTTTCATTACTTGATGCAATCAGGATCCAAATCTATACGATAAGGAAACTATTTCTTTATTTTATGTACTCATTTATTTTTACAATGGGTGCTCTTCTTCCACGCGCCACCGATTCCACACCACCTTATAAGATGGCGCTTCAGCCCAGTCCGGCATCTCTCCTGAGCATGAGGACGACCACAGCATCCTGGTCGACACGTCGAGTTCACACTCACCCGTCCTTCTCAGAACCACCATTCTTGTAGTAGACACTGATTCCATATCTGTCAGTCCTCAGCACTCACAAAAGCCGCTTGGTTTCTTTACTATGTACGCAGGCGTGCTTGACCAAGTCTTGCATATTTAATGAGGAAAGAGGGCGTTAGGATTTCGACGGATTTCGCTGCAGCTAAGAACAGTCCTGTCAAAATCGTTGACTTCTGTTAAAGCTGAAGAATGTATCTTCCATTAAATGCTGGTTTTAAGCACATACATTGTCGTAAATGTGGTAAAATGACACGATAATTGTCCAAAAACAAATTTGGATCTGAAAACGCACCAAGTCTTCTTATTTTCAATGTGGCGAAAGTTTCAATCTACACTCTACAGAAGGTTCAGTTTACGAACTACTAAAAAAAGTATTTTTTATCTACACATTTCTCTAGCTGACTCAAGGCGCAACCTTTTTGAAGTATTCACACATTTTATCAGAACGTTCTGCCGCCACAACAGGCCGCAGATTTGTTGATGAATTTCGTCACAAATCGGCATACAGAACCCGGATGTGCTTGCGCTTGTAAACAAACGGAGCACACGATGCTGCTTGCATGTAATGAGTCCGTAGATTCAGGTTTCCAATTGTATTTAATTGCGGAGATAATTTTTATTTTACTCTAGGGGCTCTGTTCTTACGAATTTTAGTCGTAAAGGACTGCTTTTAGTCGATCAAGATTTCTCACTAAATTTGGGGTGCCGAACAGTCGACTCGACAATTATTGTTAATGTTTTTTCGTAAGTGTTGTTTGTTTATATGTCTTATCTAGTGATATTTTCTTTAAATCACTAATCAATCTCTTTGGCCCAACTAAAAAAAATCTCGCGAACAAAAAGCGCGGCATAAAAATCATACGCTTCGTCACCACAATGTCATCCCTTATAGGTCAATCATAATTATGACAGATCGTTTCACACTTCTTCGATCTGTAGTAGAGGTTTCGGTAACTGTTTTTTAGCTTTGCCAAACAAAACACAATCTATTTGCCAGTACCTCTCATAATACACATATGAACAAAATTCATATCATTCGATTTGGAAATCATGCTTTATCTACTCACCATTGCAAGTCATTTTAACAGACAGCTGAATACTTTTTAAACGTGTAGTTCATTAACAACTTTGGTCGTACCTTTTTTCCCGTCCAAGTCTCGCCGTTCGAACCACACGTGTGGGTGGGTCTGCTAAGAAATTTTTTTATTTGACCTCATAGCGGGTGCTGCGGACTGACTGAATATGGAACGCCAAATGTACCAAACTGTGACGTTACTTTGTAAAAGTAGTTTGGTTGTGTCCTCAATCCTATTATATGTTCACGGAGTAACATCATATTTAGGTAAATTTGGCGTTCCATAACTGACATGGTGTAACCGCAAACCATCTCTCTGCCACCACGCAAAGCTTCAAATCTCACTTATTGATGTGGGCTCCGTTCTTTGAGAAGACAGCGGCACCACGTTCCTGGTCACGTTTCCCGTTTTATTAAAAGAAAATCCTGTGACATTGGTGTCTTGTAACAGTCGTGGTTAAACCCGTATGATCCCGTATCCGCGCGTCCAACGCAGGGACTGGTAATTCATAGTTTGCGGTGGACCTTGGATTTCCGTTTGGGTAAGAAACCCGGGATCGCGTTGCTGATTGCTTTTTCGTCTGATGAGAAAGCTTAGCTGTCTTTTGAGAAAGGTCTGTTTATACACCTTTTGCTCCAGCCCTAAAGTGAAGTGTCCAGTAGAATTTAGGCACTATGTACAGCTACAGCGATGTGGACAGTGCCGCTTTTATTCCAGGCACGTGGTGGTTTGAGCATCGTTGCTCATCGCAGGCCGGCGGGGGTAATTCTAAGTCTCAATTTCTTAGAGAAAGGACAACTTTTGAGCAGGAGTACTAGCAGAATATGCTCAATGTGATGATAGTAATTGTTTGCCCTGTCCAAAAATACCTTGCTCACAAATTTTGAAAATGAACGTGAAAGACACAGGCCTCAGCTCATTACATATCGTAACTAAACGTTACTTTTCTTTTTGTAGAGAAAGCTGAAAAAATCAGTTATTACAACATCATCAAGGACATTCCAACATGTAGTTCCGTTTAAATTGTTTCACCTGTCAGCGTATTGGTATATCGTTTTCGATTTACGCATCCTGTGCATGCTAAAGTTAATTTTGTTTTCTTTTTTTATAGCGACACTTTCCACCGACCGATAGAGATAGAGCATAAATTAAACGGCGTAAAAAATTATAAAAACACTTCAGATTACAACATACAAGATAAGACACAAAAACCAGTCCCAATTAGTATGAAAGGAGTAAGCAATTGAGTGGCAACATGGAGCAGGTGTCTAGTACCTCTCCTAATACTAAGGCACAAGACTAAAACAGGTTGTTTAAACTTGTGGGCATGCGGTAACCGTGCAGGTTGAAATTTATTTCCATTATCATTTCAGAGAGCCCTAACGTTGTTCGAGACGTTTCTGTGTATTCTTTCAACGATACGTCCATCACCGTCGCGTTTGTCCCGCCAGCAAATGATGAACTTCTGTCACGTCTAGACGGGTACATCATCCGGTACACGGACAGCGATCAGAACGTCAACCCGGAAACATGGAACACATTCCGAAAAGTAAGCTGAAGTCTTGAATTTTTTTTCGTTCAGTTAATTTCTCACGATGAGTCGAAAGTCTTGAAGATATGTATAATCATTGTGTAGGGGTGAAGCCCTCACACCTCTTTGAAGACACTCGCGACACTGGAAGATACGTCAGTCTTTACACGTGTGAGGAAAAAATCCCAGAAACCTGCTCAAGTATAAAAGCAGAGCATAAAAACCATGAACTACCTGAGGTAGGAAGCGAATGTGACTGATGTACTGAAACAGTTTTGACAGTGAAAAGTAAACCTTATGTTCATTTAATTTGATTTGATGCTTTTGCATGAAAAGTGTTTGGCACTAAAATAATACCTACCCGTACAATTGTTTTAAAGATATTTTACACTATATTTGCAGGATTTTCCAGCGGGTATTCGAGTTCATGGTCATATTATCATTGAGATAACAGGGCTGTCCCGGAGAACCACCTACTATCTACAGATCAAAGTTAGCGTACCCGACCTTACGGAGCCCAGGTGGCCAAATACACTGCCATCTACAGAAACTATCGTCATAACCACTGTGGAAAACGCTCGTAAGCTATGATTAAAACCCTATTAAACTCCATTGGTTCGCTTTTATTCACTTGTAACATTATTTCAAAATTTCAGTTTTCGACCTCACATGTGCACAACGGAAAGCACCAATGATTTATTTTTTTTTAAATTACAGAAATGTATAAAACTATGTACCCTAGTCGGAATTGTCCGTTTTTCGATTTTCGGGAAAATTTAAATCTAGTCAGTTAACTTGCTTGAAATTGGAATTTGTTGGTTGAGCATAATGTGGATACTACGACAGTCACCTATTGGGAAGATTCATACGATTCAAAACATCATTTTGGCGGCGTCCCAATCTTTCACATAGCACAGCCTTGCACATACAAGAGCCAAGTCTACCAACACAACGAGCGCTTCTACGACGGGTGCGAGTCCTCGTGCGAGTGTAAGGCCGGCCGGACTATCTGCCGCGAGCGGTGTCCACTGACCGAGCTACTGCCGTCCCACTTCTGCCCAAACCCACAACGGGTGGTCGTGGAGGGCCAGTGCTGCCCAGAGTGGAGATGCCTACCAAAGGGTAAAGTATTTAAGACCTCATGACACCTCAAAGTGCCTTGAACTCGCAAAGTGTTCGAAGGATCTCTAGCGCTAGTGCTCCGAACGGTTATCCAAGAGAGGAGGGGGCTAGTGCATATATTTTAATATATATAAATTGATTACGGTACAAATGCAAGGTTTTGAATAAGTACAGCTAAAATGACTCTTTCTTCTCAAATGCGGGCAAGGTTAAACGCGTGTATCAACCTGTGCAAATAGAAGATTAATTTATCTTGGTAAGAATTACATGGGACTTACTTAAGGACAGACTGTAAACCACTTATATTACTTCGTCATTAACCCAAGAGCCTCGTGAGTTAAGACGCTGAGCATCACTAGCTATATTGTTTATGGTTTGCTTCTCCAATTTAACGCTGGAGATTTATCATAAGACTCACGTGTTTACGACGCTATACGTTTGCTTTGTGTGTTGTACATGACATTGTATTTATAAACGTCGCTAGAGAGTATAAACTAGATAAGGCCTACAAAGGCGTTGAGGAGAATTGGACATTTAATTGCTTTCTTATTGTAAAAATTTTATGGAGACACCAACACGAATTGACAAAAGCCACAGGGAGAAAACATGACAACACATTCATTCATCCATTGAACCGTATCATTTACCCATTGTGAAAGTTGAGTTCGCACAGAATCAGCTTAAAGCAGAAAGTTCAGCTTTGTTGTCCCTTTTCCGTCAGAGGGTGACTGTTCGTATGGCGGCAGTATTTATCTAGACGGTATGGAGTGGCGTCAGGGATGCGATCTGCGATGCTCATGTGACTCTGGGGAGGTCACGTGTCATAATCTGTGTAGCACCACGCCACCAGTACCTACACCTGACTGTCCATACCCGGTACAAGTAAGCGTACCAGATACCTGTTGCAAAGAATGGCTGTGTTATGATGGTAAGTCGGCGAATTGTTAATCTTTGTACGGTCGATGCAAGAGATCCATATGAATATTCATCGTTTTTTAGTGTTCCGGGTCATATTTAATAAGAAATAAATCAATCAGCACACTATTGCATTGAAACAAAGTATACTTCACAGACGTATACAAAAAACCTGGAATTGCAACGCCTTTGTATGAAAAAGAAGCCAACTAGTGGCCATTTTACCGAGCCGAATACAAAAACGTGGGTTCGCTCCCTTCTCTTGACGTCAGGAAGAAGAAAGGCGGGCATTGCCAGGAAAGCTTTGTATTCAGCTCGGTAAAATGGCCGCGAGTGGATTCAATGACTCTGTAAGCTGATTAAGGGCATTAGGAGTCCAGATTTTATTATACACGTCCGTGGTATACTTGCGTAAATTTAAATCGGAGGAAAGTACCAACAGAAGAATTGGTTGTATGCACTTTTATTGTAAAATCAATTTGAAGATAAGATATGTTTTATTTCTCGTTCATACAGCCCGGCAGCCAGCTCATGAACCACTCCCCTCTCTCGCCGTCCCCCTGTCCTCCTTCCAAATAAACATCACCGCCAAAGACATCTCAGCCCACCAGGTTACGATCTACTGGCCCCCTCTGACGGACGTCCAGCGCCGGTACATAGCTCGGTTCCGTCTGAAGTACAAGGAGCTGTCATATGGTGTGAAGAATTGGACGACTACGGTGGAATTCAGGTAATGTGCCCCTGGCTTTACTCTTTTTAGCCTGTCCCCCTCACGGAGGAAAAGGGTCTGCAGAGTAAAGGAGGAGTGGCGCTTGACATATGAGAGGATACGATAGGCATGCGAGTGAACTATCACGCTCTGCTTGCTTCAGAAACATTAGTCTTACTGTCTTGCGCGTGAACTTGTGGAAGTTTTTGTGACATTTTAGGAACGATCCAAAGAAAAAAAAACAAGAGTATACAGGCAATCCATCATGATGATTGTTATTGATTAACAACGTAGTTGCGTACCAGTGGAGGTGGCAGTTACTTAATATTGCCTTGTATGTTGACAAGTGATTACATTCTTTGCGATTTAAAAACTGCTTGTCATTATTATAGAATAAGACGGGTTTTGAAAGAGGTTTCCAGTAATTTTCCTTAATTTATGTACCATGTTTTGATAACTTTTCATTCGTAGAGCGTCAATGGTCAGCTACACAATTCTGGATCTGAGACCAGCCCGGAGCTATGTCGTGCAACTGGTGGTGCTGGTCGGGGATCCGACTGTTGCCATTCATCTACCCACAAACAAAATGGAGATCGACACACTGTGGTTGCCATGTGCGTTCACGTGCTCTTTCCGTAATGGTCTCAAAACATCATTAACAAATCTTACAGAGGAAATAAACAGAGTTGTGACGAGTCACTGATTGTTGTGACTTGAGTCAAGTCGAGTCACTTTAATGAAGTGACTCAAGACGCGTCATTTACCCGTCGGGACTTGAGTCGCCAAAAGTTGTGATTCAAGTAAGACTGAGTTGAGCCAAGGACTCGTGGTTACAACTTTGGAACTAAAATGACTTGTACATCAACATTTCGTAAAAACTTTCGCAAAAGAAAGCGATCTTATCCTTGGTAATCACAGCATGGTGAATAAAATGATCTTATGCATGAAAAGTCGGTATGGTAGATGAATTGTATTTTTAATAACTTAAATATGGGACCAATTTTCTGCACTGCAATTTCTGCAATTTTCTGCACATCTGTGTTTTACGAATAGTATCATTTTAGTGCTTGTTGCAAGTTACTCTTATTTTATTTTACCCTCCTGCAATCAACTGGAGAAGCTTCGGATGGTAAGCTTTTGTATTCATGCACTGTTAAGCAGAACTGAGCATAGTAAGTTTAGAATATCTGGTCAGTGGTAATCGAAAGGAAAAACGAAATATTCATACTTTCTATTGAAGACGACTTTGCTTTTTTGCTTAACATCAGCTAAGCCGTACCCAGGCCGGCCGTTTGAGATCAAAGCCATAGACATCAGCTCAGAATCAATCACGGTGCGCTGGACCATGCTACCCGTAGAAATAGCCGAGCATATCATAGGCTGGCGCCTATTGGTCACTGACTCCCAAGAAAGCCGTGTAATCTCATCCAACATCGTGGAGCCCACGGCTCTGTCTGCCGTCGTTGGCAACCTGACGCAGGGGACCATATATCACGTACAGCTGCTGGGGCTTTGGGATAATGGGACACTCACCCGAGAGGTCAGGTCCCAGACCTTGGTTGTTAAAACAAGTCAAGAAAAAGGTTGGTTTCTTTGCATTGATTTGCGTATATTGACATGACGACATTGGATCTTGACATTGAAGTTTTAAGCAAGGGTTGGTCCTTACAGCATTTGAAATTAAATTGCCTGTAATGCAGTCAGAAACTGATGCTTCAGCAGTAGGATATTATATTTCTCTGTCAAAACTGACATAATCCATCAGTGACTAAACCATGCAATGCACTACCGTGCCGTAGCCTTTTTCCGGTGTGTGGTTATTTTGTTGGTCGAAATTGGCCAGTGGGTTTGAGCTGTAAGACTCTCTTAAAAGCATAGAGCGGCTGAAAAAGAGAACATGGGTTTATGTCTAAGGAGGATCAACCTGAATAACCGATTAACCTGCTGCTGTCTTCACTTTCAGATGTAAGCAAACCTGCATCTTTCTCATCGGGTCGTGCTATAGGGGGCGCTATCGTAGCCCTCTTCATACTGGTAGCCTTGGTTGTAATTGTTGTGTACGTACGGGTGCGCAAGTCCAGATATTCCAAGAGGTATGACGTGTACATGCACAACACCACCGTCAACTACGATACAGGCGCAGGCTACGAACAAGTCTACTCCAGTACCGCATCGGGGTTAGATGAGGTTCGTAGGATAGCCATTGTGCTCGAAGGGCTAAGCTAAAAACCGCTCGAGTGTGGTTTTAAAAACCGTCTCTCTGATCAAAGTCTAACATAAAACAATGAACTTCTAATATAGTCATGTACCATTTTTCAGAACGTATCACTTATTTCGAAAGATAGATTAACAGCAGTTTGTGAACGAGCTATTTAATATTGGCCTTGCACAATCAGATTTAGAACGTTGTAATGTTGGCGTACAGAGATTATGAATGACACGCATCTTCCCGGTCAGTGTTTTTTGTTCCATAGGAATACACATGAGTAAACCTTTTGTGCATATCCCCCATAACAAAAGCACTGACCGGAAAGATGGCTGCCATGCATAACCTCTATATAGGAACGCAAAATCTCAACAAGTGACACAATTTCAAAAGGCTTCTTAAGATGTAAACAGCATGAAGGAGGTAAAGATCTTGCGTTAGCTTATCATGCTGATAGTTTTCCGTGTTTCTTTGGTCAAAAGGACTGAAGTTTTGACAAATTGATACAGTTCTCTTTCAATTCTTTCTAACAGGAAGTAAGAGGAAATGGGCTGACTATCCGCAGAGATAGCGAAGCTGGACTATTGGATGCGGCAGACTAGTTGGAGAGGAAACTGCTACAACGCGCTTAGTGTGGAACACCAAGATGAAAAATTATTTCTTAAATGTATGAGTTGGATATATATTAGTTTTATAGACCGGGTTGTTCTAGTTGTGAAAGCACAGTACTTAATAAGTTCTTTGTGTAATTCAGTGTTTCGAAGATCGAGCTTTGTTAAAGTGAAAAGTTGCATAAACGATCTTAAAAGGATTAAAAAAAAGTTAAAATGTGAAACGTTTAAATTAAGGTTTATAGAAAAATGTGTTCTGTTCAGTGTGTTTTAATTTCTTTAAAAACTGTGTCCGGACTCCCCATTGTCTCTTTCAAAAGTCGCATGAAAGGATGAACTGTTTTAAAATGACAATGTCCTCTTTTCATGGAGGTTTTAGGGCTTGTTGAAATTAATTGGCTGCCTCTTCAAATTACACGCCACTCAATGGGAGCTGGCTGCGGCCATTACCCTAGACTTGGCATGCATGGAATTTCAAGCCGAAGCCAAGTTATTCGGATACTGCGTTAAATTATGTTATGACATCTAACATTATGAATGTTAGATGTGGCATCCCAAAAAGCAGCCTTATTCCCAGGACCTATGTGGTTAGATTCTTACCTCAGTTGTCTGCAGGAGTTGGATGACCTCGTGCCCAACTGTCCCGCTCAAGCCAGCTAAACACTTATCAGCTCTGTCAAGATGTTTCGACGAATTACGTGGCAGTGCCACAGCAATTATATCACTGGTTATTAGCAGAGACCCCGCCTTGCCGGTACTCTTTCTTGACAGCCGCTACGTACAGTACCAAGCACAATCATGCTTGCCCCATCAACGGGGGTCATCATGTCATTGGGAGTGTCCAGGAAAACGTCACTAGATTTGTCTGTACAATGACGCCAACCCTTTAAGGATAATTAACGGGTACTTGAAGGAGGCTTTGCCAGTGGTACGTCAAGTGCTGTTTACATTTGTTTACGTAATCTCTTGTTGGCCTTTATCATTTAGAAGATGGACGATTAAATTTATTTGTGAGTACTATGCGTCGCACCTGTTGTTTATACATCAGTATGTCTCTGACTAGATGTATTGTGCATGTATTTTTTTCGCTCGTGCTTTGGGTGTTGTTGATGTTTGTTTATGACGTCATTTTATGGAATATCTCGGGAAAGTGCTTTTGCCCTGTTAATACATGCGTGTATATCCATTTTACCCATCCATGACTCCATAAAGGAACCACGACTACTGCACGAAACCTCTGGTTTGGTTTCTAAAAGGGAGCGGTCCAAACAAGGAAATCCAAAACGTGAATGAGACAGAAGCAATCCACCCTTGCAATCATTGCGCGCGTACGCGTGTATGTGTCAGGGCTACACGGCCGCTCAGATCCAGCGAATGGCAAAATCCCCGGCCACCGTAGAAATTCGAAAACGAGGCGAGAACGCCCCATTACACTAATGGGCGCTGTTCATGATTCAGAATGGTTTACATAATGCCCCCCATATCATATACTTGTGCACCAAGTAACCTGGCGTAAGTGGTGCATTTCAGTGCTGCTGTGTGCTTCGCTTTCCATTGCTATTTTAACATTTTATTTGGAGTAAAACAGGAAATTTGAAAAAAAAAGAAGAATCGACATTTTTCTTTCTTTGGGTGGATACATATCCTCCCCATCCGCTTGGATTTATGCCCCCAGTTTGTTTATAATATAGTTTGTCACGCAGTAGCGTATCCAGCTTTTGGTGGGGGGGGGGTTCAAAAGCGAATGCGGTTTTGGGCTTATTTGACATATGTTGCAGGAGAACAAATATCAAAAAGCCTTACGGTCCTGAAATCCTAGCTTTTATGTCATGGTGTTGTTTTCTAAGGGGTTTGGTACTAATATTTGGGACATACATATTAAAATAAAAATTTGATAAACACTATTAAAACGAAAACAAAAGTGAAAAAATCCGTGGGGGGGAAGTTGCCCCCCCCCCGCTGGGGGGATTTTATTAAATGTAACAGACGTCTGAAAGAATATAACATTTTTCTTTGGTCACGTAAGCATACGCGCAGCTGCTGGTTATAGACCCTCGAAAAGGGGACCAACTCGGGTTTTATGAAGCTTATACATGTAAATGGTCTTTGCATAACAGATTGACGAATCATGTCAGATCATGAACTGCGAGTTTTTAAATTAGCACACAGTTTTTAGATTTATCACAGAAACAGCATGTTTGGATACTACATTGCTAGTTCAAGGGATATGTTCCGTATGTAAAAGAAAAGAGCCACAGAAATATAAGCCACAGTTTCATTGGAAATAATAAAAGCTTTAGTCCTCTTTATTACATAATATGCTGCAAGTGCAGTTGATTCTGAAGATATAAACGGCTCAATCAGGAACCTTCCCAACCCAGAAATTATCACAGACTGCTAAAAGTAGCAAAAACTGCCGAAGACGTGAAAAGCTTTTGTTTGAACGAAAAACAGGTGAAAAGTGAACAACAGGCCTGAAAAAAAGTCAAGTCGGCTTTCCACATCCATCACTTAAAGTACCACATATTTTGTCAGCCGGTTGCTGGGGGTTATCATTCAGGTACAAAAATACACGAAAACTTCACTGCGTGCACAGGGGTGGATCCACAGTGGGGGAGGGCAATAGGGACCCCCGGGCAATTTTTTAATAATGAGAGAAAGGCGATGTTTTGGTCTGTTTTATTTTTTTCAAAAAACCTGTAAAAAAAAATAATAGCCTCGACAATCAAACAGGCCATAAAAGTCTACATGGAAACTTTCTAAATCTTGTGGTTCTCTACTTGAAAACATGTTTACCACCTCTCGAAACTTTGGTTCTGGATCTGCTTTTACGTGTGCGCAAAAGTTCTTTTTTCAGCCGCTAGTCTTGACCTGCTTCAACCTGGCTGCTTCATAATGTTTTCCGTTATCAGGAGACAGTGCTGGCAGCAGGAAAATCGAATTGTGAGGGTAAGCGCGGTTTTACCTTTAAAGAGCCGGGTTATTTTGGCCCATCTCAGAGCAATTTTCCACCCTAGAACTCGACTGTGCCACGCTTAATTTTTGAGACTTGTATACATGTTAAGATACTCATTATCATTACAAAGGTAAAGTTTGAGTTCAATCAGACATAGAGTTTTGTTTACGGTCAGTTGAAGTTCGGGGCTACACACGTGTCATCCTGCGTGCATTGAACACCGCAGTGGAAAAGTACATTGTAGGCCTATACATATTTGGCTGACCTGTTTGGAAAATGGGCGCTGCACAGAACAATATTTTAGATTTTTCGTGGAATTGGTGTCAAATGATTGCAAAGAATTACTTTAAAAACTAGTTAGGGCTCAGTTCCTGCTAAAAATTACTGTGGCAATGTCAGAAAAAATGTCGGGGCGGGTGCGGATTCCGCCCCCAGGTCCTTTAGAGTTAAGAGGTCCTTCATATCCAGGGTTAACAAGCTAACAGTCCGTAACTTCCTGCATGAAGCTCGGAATATAGGCCTAGTTCCACACGTGATATGAGGAAAGTATGATCTGCAGAAGTCCATGTAAAAATGGAATGAACGGAGAGGTAGGCCCTATATCGAGCCCCTTATGGAACTGTTGGATGTTTAAGGTAACTTAGCAACTGACCGGCACTCCTCTAGTATCAAAAAGTCCATTTTTTAATGACGTGTCTGTCGACATGACATGCATGGTGCCCTTCCAGTTAATACGAAACGAGCTGCATTACTTTGGATTTTTACAAGACTCAGTGCAGTTTTGTCGGATTTCGTGAGTGTGTAGTAGGCCTTAGATTAATAATGTGCATCGGATTGGGTTGTACTAGGCCAAACCGACCCAAAATACTAAACACATAAACCGAATCCCGACCGAAACCGATCTGAACTCTCGAAACCGACCCGACCCGACAAGAATTCTGGGAAAAACCGACCGGAACCGACAAAAAAGTCAGTAACCGAACCCGAAAAAATCCGAACGTCTTTCGTACAAATTATATCTATGATACGCACCACAGAACTAGTAACACTACTCGGAGTTCAGACTGTCTCACAAGCCTGAGTGAGTGGTAGAGAAAGACGAAACCCTTTTTTTTGCTGCTTTAGAATACTGTATCGATCGGTCAAGCCATGATTCCCTAACCCTGTAGGGCCCATGTAGCGTCGTCACATTTTTAAAAAAATGAAATAAAATTGTGAGCGACTGTGAGCGGCTGCGTTTTTGCGGAATAGTAATACTGTTCCGTATTCGCGTTTTTTATGATGATGTACTACGTCACATATGAAGCTCTAAAAATTAAATTTTAGCACGTTTATATCCGGTTTCGGGTTTGTGGTTATTTTTGGTTTATTTTTTTTTCACGATATAGCGTAACCAGCCCGACCCGACCCGAAAATCACAAACGCAAACCTGAAATATTGGAAAAACCGGACCCGACCTGGTGTTTTGGGGTCGGTTTTGCACACTTGGGATCCAAAATATCAGCACATTACAAGAAGGGGTCGAACTTATGTCTCTGGTGCTGTTTCTTTCACCTATTCGCTGAAATCACACAGACATCTTCGCAAACGTCGCAACATACTTGCTACCTTAAAGGTGGTCTTTAGATATGTGATGTTTCCCCTCCAGATGTGAAATTACTACTCCAAAGTAACTTAAGGGCGATGTTCTACAATTTCAAGGGAAAGGCTAACCACTATGTGCTGATAATATTCGGGGAGTTGAAGGACATAAGTTCATTAGTGAATGACTGTTTTTTAATACAATACAAAAGACGGTAAATGTTGGCAATCATATGTTCCGTTTTTGTAGACTTGCCATCTTTTAACAAAACGCAAAGAAGAAAACTCAGTTGGAAACATAGTTTCAAAGTCATGGGTACTTAGCGGCCACCATAGTAACTGTTCCTTAGTTCGGTTACTTTACTTAATTGGGTATATTTACCATGCGGCATGTTGTAATAGTACCCAGACGTCCATTCCTACGATACTGAAACTAGATTAGAGAGTACCCGACTTATTGTATCAGAATCCATGTTGATGTAGCCTTGGCTCCCGGTTGGTAACAATAAACGCCACAAATTCTAAGCGTAAATTGTCCATTCTTTCCAGGAGAATTTGAAATTGAGACATGGCTGAAGGTAAGTTAGGATTGCACTACACCAAATACACGCCCGTAGAAAACAGTGCAAAATCAGACCGAAATAGCGCCGCCTGTTCTCGGGAAAAGGTTGGCAGTCATACAGTGCGCAGTTGATTTGACCTCCGTCATGTCTTTTTTTTCACTGGAATTTAATTAAATTCAAGATTATGACCAGAAGTTCACTTTTTGTTTCAATTTTATAGGGGTTAGCCACGCGAATTTTTATTCGCCTGTCCCTAAAGATACCCCCAAAGTAGTAGTAAAACTATGCACTCAACTCTGAATATACATGTAGCTGCCCGCCTCTATCCAAAATGGGCCGGCAGGTTGGGGCTTTTTGTGAAAGAAATACCCTTAACTGGAAACAGCTCAATTGCAGAATGCCCCACCATCCCGCATGATCAACCTTATAACCAGGTACAGGTCAAAGTGTCAGACTCTTCTCAAGGAATTTTCACCTTGTAGCCACGTTCATTTCTAGAGTGGCGGGGTATTCTACAATTACTCCCTGGAAACTACCAGTGTCAAATTTCTGATTTATAGAAATATTTCTATGAATCCATCCTGATTATGGCATATGTTATTGTAAAACCCAGTTGGATCACAAAATATTGATGAGCTCGCGCAGAGAAATCCAACAATTTGGTTGAATGCACCCAAAGTATATAGCCCATCTATTTTATGGACACTAACCCAAGGTTACACATTTTCAATTTGCTTTTACACTCGTATGTGACTACAGCCTCGAGGCTGCAGGTTGGCAAAGTGTCAGCAGTGACAGCTATAAGCCAATTTCCCATTCTGTCACCATGTTGATTTTAGCGTCCCCGCTCAAGTTAGTAAACAAAGCTACAAGGGAACAAATTGTCTACAACAATAATATCCACAAGCATCCATTTTTCAAATGTTATGTAACATTGTTGTCATTAATTAGTTGCGTTCTGTTAAATCTTCTGAGCATATGCACGTGAAACGTGAAAGAGGCTTATAAGCACTACTGCTTAGGCTACATTATACCACCTAGCTGACTAGGCCTAGGTAATTGGAAAAGGAGGTCACATGAAACGACATGCGTCATATGCATATCATAAACATTTATACATTTTGGAAGTTGTTTAAACTTGAGTAATGAACCCACAATACAAGAGTTGAATAAATTGATATTGGTGAGAAAAGTTTTACGTAGGGCGCAAACACTTCGATGTGCATATGATGCACGTCATTCTAAGTGATCTTTTCTGACTACCAGTGTACCCTCAGACTAGGGCCAGTCTACTTCCTATGTATCCTTCGCCCTACGACCAAATCCCCCCAAACAAAGCTTCACACGGTTGGTCATTTCCTGTGAATTTCAACCTGTTCCTGTCCTTAAAACTCACTTGAAAACTCCTTTTCTTAAACAGTGTTCTCTCAACACATACTTCATGGGTGGTTTTAATTTTTGTAGCTTTTTAATCTGTCTTTTCTCTTTTATACTTTTAATTTGTAAAATGTTGTAACTGTAATTATAACGCTTTGAGATGTGTATGACATGGAAAGCATTTCTTAAAATTCTACTATTATTATGAAAGTTTGGTCTCTATTCAGTTGTCTCAACACAGCCATTCATTTAATAAACCAATTCATTCCTGATCATTGAATGGGCGATAAACACAGTCAGGTTCCCAGGCGCACACATTCACTCATCCAATCCCCACGCTGCATGCACAACCAACGACACATGACTCATACAAACACCCAACTGCTGCGTTTTCAATATATTCTATTGAATAGGCATTGTCACGGGTGTCCAATGTCCAGTTGCCTGATGCGAAGTTACTGATGAAGCAGCAGTTGGTATCTACGTCTGGGGCTAGCCTAGGTCTAGTAGTATCATGATTCCATAGGTAATTTCAGACCAATGCAACTCCTTGAAGGAAGTTTTGAAAAACTGAACAGAAAATATAGTGGTGTTCTACGAGCATGGATCGCTAACATGTTTCCCAATTCAAAATACTGGTAAATCATCCAAGGAGGGATCATAATAATTCAAGCAGTTACTGCATTGTTAGAAAGGTCAGCATCACTATGATTGCAAAACTCTGTTACTCTCTGGACATGTACATGCACAACTCTCGGTCCTTACACCATGTCCTCACTCTCACGTATTTCACACCTAAGTTTTGCAAC